AAGTACTTTCTGCTTGATTTGAGAACTGGTCCATAAGAGGTAATTTGTGCTTTTTACTGTGAACCCAGTTAAAAACCCATAACTGAGAAGGACTTGGGCCTTAAGGGGGATCTACTATTCTTGGTCAGTTCAATTCATATAAAATAAAGCTGTCTTTTAAATCTTAGGTTTGTGTCCCAAGATGTATGCTACTCTTATTCTCAATCAGAGAACCCTTAAATTGTCAAAGAAAAAAATTAATAAAAGATTTTTAAAGTTTCTTTACCCTCCAAATGTTTTACATTTAGGTCTGAGTGTCTATTATCTAGCTTTCTCGTAAGTCTTGAGAGGTTTTGGTGGCTTATTGCAGCCATCCCACAATTCTACATCTCTTTACTTTGTCCTAGTTATTTTCTCTACGATGTGTCTTAAGTTGCAACTTTTGTTCTTGTAATGTAATTTTACTTTTTGGTACTTATTGCAATTAAATCGCTATCAATCCATGGAGTCAGCTCAATGATCAAAGGAATTTATTTGGGGATTAACTCACAAAACAGAAATAAGGGATTGTAGCAAGGTCCTGGAAGAGTGAGGCAGGTTCTTTCTTCTCTGGTGAGCTCTGCCCTGATTCATCCCAGCATCCAAAATCCATAAGGTAGAGAAGAGAGGGGGCATATGTGCATCCCAGGTCTTCAAGGTACCTGGTGGCCACACCCCAGAGCCAGGTGCCTCAAGGTCATAGGCAGATGTAACAGCTACAGCTACCTCACTATGGGCAGTGCTTCAGGGCATGGCTCAAACAGCTACCCACTACAAGTACTGCTATTGAAATATATAATAACCACCCACGTAATTATAATGTGTGCCTTAAGCAGGCAAGAGAATTTGTGCACGTGGTAGCATCAAGCATGCAATCAAGAATTTGATACATAGAAAATTAATGATCAGTGCCTTCTGGCTAATGTATAGATAGCTCAACTAAGACATACAAGATCTAATTCATTTGGCTTTGTGGTGATCACATTTTTCCTAATCCTCCAATAGCCCATGAAGGTAAAAATTTAATGAAACTTCATGTATAGCACAGCTGAGATAATTCACAACAGACTACCTTCAAACTGAAACAAGAAGTGATGTATATTCATGTTTTTCTAGATATTAACTCAGAACATAGTAAAATACTCAAAGATGGCCTTCAAAACAGTTACAAAAACATTTTGTTCAAGGCCAAGTATGAAAGAGAAACATGAATACAATGAAATAAAATTGGCAAATAAAACTGTTATCATTGTGAAAGATAATACAATAAAAATAAAATATTTAGCTATTTGTAGTTACACAGAAAGATATGACTTCCACAACTTACTATTAACTTGCTCTTAAACACTAATTAACATCAACTGTCTTGAAAACAGTGAGATATAGTATGTACCATACAGGGTTACTCTGAGTATTGAAATTTTAAAATTTTGTACATCCTTGCCCAAAGAAGTTATCAATTTTCTCAGTAGTATTGTATAAAATGATTGTTGATTAAAATTTAGGTAAATACTAGCCCATTTCCTCTCCTGTTTAGGCTTCTGTGGGGGAACGTCTATGACAGTCTCCTGTTCTCTCTACCTGTCTGTCTCTGTCTCTCTCTCTTGTCCCTGCTCCAAGACTGTCCTTAAGTGCTCCCCCTCCAATAAATCTTTTGCATGAAATCTGTTGTGTGGTGTGATTTCTGTGGCATTCTTTGGCTCCAATCCGCCAAGGTACTCCTGCCACAGAACCTTAACAAACATCCCACAGCCTACAGTTCTGCACAGGTCCTCCTGCAGCAATGCCTTTGAATATTATTGGGTGGATAGAAATCATGCAAATGAATAAGGAAGAATTCGTTTTGAGAAGGAGAAAGGGAATGAGCTAATCCCTGAGTCCTGAGAAAGCATGACATGTCAGTGCAATTGCAAAATCTCCTTGTCTTAGAGAGCAATATTTTAATTGGAGACAGAACAAGAGAGATTGCTGGGCAGAGAAGGGACTAATTATAGTATTTAAGTATATCTCATAAAATACTTATCATCTAGCATTGTGCCTTGAAAAAGGCTTTCCAGTAATGAGAATTCAGTAATGATGAACATCACAAGCACCCAGCTTCAGTCATTAATAAAAACACTGAATGTGCATGAAATAATTAAATGTATGTCAGAACTTATATCATGTGTCTGGCATGTATTAGGTCATTTAAAGTGATGAAGAACCTCATGACAGAATTGGGTATACTAAGGTTGTGATAAACGGAACTGTTTAAACAAATCCTAATTATATTCTTACTCTCTTTCCCAATTTTTAGGCCTAAAAATTAGGAACTAAAAAAATCTTAACTAAAAATTTAGAATGTCTGACCAGAACATCAAATTCAGGGTCAACTATTTGTTCAACATTTTGCCACCTGAAATCTATAAGATTTTAGGAACTGTAGGCGCTCTATATTTATGGAATGAATTAGTGTGTCTAACCCCTAACTACAGAGAATTAATCACTGTAAACTTTTCCCTTTATCTGAATCTATGCATACAAGTATGTACAACTATAATGATCATTAACATATGTATTAGGAACTGCTAGATGGCTTAGGATACAAAGGCTCTTGATGTCAGTCCTGAAGAGTTCAATCCCCAGGATCCAAGAAATGACTCTCACAAGTTTTCTTCTGATTACCACTGAGTATCTGGCACATATTGGTTCATGTACACACACACACACACACACACACACACACACACACACACACACACATGCCCAAACTAGTTGTAATTAAAAAAATACATATCATACCCAATAAAAATTCATTTCATTGTAAAAAAAATAGTATCATGTGGAATCATTAGTAAATGAGAGACAATGATAAAATGAGAAAGACAGTCATTTCTGAAATATAAAAAAGTCATCTTCTGCAGTATAACGTCTATAAGAAACAATTCTTGAAAATAACAAAACATACAATTTTGCTAGAAAATTACATGATAGAATAGTCCAACATCACTTTAAGTCAATGATCTATTCTAAAACAAAAGAAAAAAAAAAAGGAAAACCAGAAACTACAGTACTCAGGTATTTTAGAAGGAGTGCTGTCTTACTTTGGTTTCTTGTTGTGATTTTAAAAAAAATACTGTAACAAAAGCAACTTAGAGAAGAAAAGTTTATCCTGGCTGACAGTTCAAGAGTACAGCGTATCCATCATGGCGGGGAAGTCAAAGCAGTGTGAGATTGAAGCACCTATCCCACATCTACAATTAGAAAGTACAGAGGAAGGAATGCATCCATACTCATGCTCAGCTTGCTTTCTCTAGTTAATAAAGTCCAGAATTCCATGTCCAGGGAATGGTCCCATCCACAATTAATATGAGTCTCCCCACACCAATCAGCATAATCAAGCTAATGCTCACAGGCATGCCCAGAGGGCTATCATCCAAGTAATTCTAAATTCCATCAAGTTGACAAAACCACCACAAATAGCAAACAAAACATGACTGGAGACTTTCTTAATAAGAGCCAGGGAGACTGGGGCATGTCTGTAACTTAGCACTAGGGAGGTAGAGGCAAGAAGTTCAGGAATTCAAGGCCAGGTTGGCAACATAGCTGGTTGGAGACAAGCCTGAGCATTTTTCATCTCCAAAATCATCACTTTGGTCCAAGTAACATCATATATACCCTTATTTACTTCATCACTCACCTGATAGTTATTTCTCTTCTCACTCTAATTCTCTCCTATCTCATCTCGGGGGCTTGTATATGAAAATGTTTTCCATTCCCATGGGATTACATTCAAACTGCTTCAACCCTTTTGCATGTCCGTGTGGATACCTTACATTTCATCTCTACTACTTTGTGGCTACAGGCACCTTAACAGTCCTCAGAAGTCTTGAGAGTGTTATGACACTTCCACTCAAAGCTTTAATTCAAGAACTCCTATAAAAGTTTAGTCTCCTGTTACTCTCCTCTTACTTCTAGGACTCTATCAGATGTCTCCTGAAATATGTTTTCTCCCAGAAAGCTTCCCTCAACTCTATTAAAAATGAATAGACCCACCTACATTTTTCCTTATGGAAATTATTTTATGGAAACTTCAAAAAGTTATTTAATTAAAAAAATACTTAAATATACAAAGCTATAAATATCAGAATTAAACTGAGATATTTTTAAAAAAAGACTTTCTTGACTCTTGAGAAAACTGTCCTATTATACTTGTTACAATATTCCAGTCGTCTCTTTACCAAATGTCCTAGAAATAATCAATAAGTACTTGCTGTGTATTTGATAAGTTCCCAGCTCTAGCTAATGTAATATTGCATTAAGTCTGTCTTTGTGTATACAATAGTCAACCAGGATGGATAGGGCATTATCAAATTCTGTAACTTGAAGATACCTGCAGAATGTACATTTAGAGACAAGGAAAAACTTGTGCAAATGGATTTTGATATACAGAAACCAGTACTGGCAATAGGAGTACTATAAAAGTAAGCTAGAGGAGACAGTGGACTACATTGAAGAGGAACAAAGCGAAAGTGTTAATTTAAGGGACTCAAACCCTTTGAAGGAAATACAGACAGCAAACTTCATTTTAGTCAATCTTCTAAGCAAGCTCTACAAATTTTCAAAATAGACTTGGGAAAGCAAATGTAAAGTCCTTAGAAAGCATGGTGGGGACTTTCTAAGCAATTTTGTTGAGATGCCTGATAGCGCAACAAGTGAAAGAAAAAAGTTGTTAATTAAACAGAAGAAGCTGAATTCCACCTGCAACTAAATGGGAAAGAATTAGAAAAGGCCACATGTGGCTACAAGTAATACACAACAAAAACTCCCCAGGGTAAAGGAGTCCTGTGTTAATCTCTTTTTGGCTCTAACAGAAGAAAAGCAAAAAAGGACTAAACCTCCTGAATGAGATCCTGTGAAAGCTTCCAGAGCTCAGCGGGAGACAGTCTCCATGGAAACTTCCCTTTCCCTACACCCACACACTGCTCCTTCTACCTGCAAAGGCTGTCCTGAATCTCAAGAGAATACTATGGAGGAGTCAACACTTCTGAAGTACTGAGATAAACCCTGGGGAGAGGCGAAGAAGCAGAGCAGACTGACATTCCAGCATCATCAGGAAAGTGGTGGTTTTCTCTAGATCTCCTCAGCTCCAGCGTTCAGACAAAATGGTTTCCTGAGAACTGCACTTCCTTCCCTTTGCTCCCTTAATTCAGAGGACCGCCCAGCTTTTAGTGTGATGTAGCACTGGGAAGGGATCCTCAGAGGGACATGTGTCACTTGACCATCCTCTTTCTTCTTCAGCTCATGTAATAGTGCTCGCTATTTAGTTCAAAACATCCAGTCAGTCCATTGCTAACTTCCAGAGGTTATGGGTGAAAGAATAAAATGGAGAGAGAGAAAAAGAGTGTGTGTGTGTGTGTGTGTGTGTGTGTGTGTGTGTGTGTGTGTGTGTGTTTGAACTAGAAAACTTCCCATATTGAAGCAATTCACCAAAGTAACAAAGTAAGCTACATTTGTAATAGTCAGAAAATGCGTCAAGATAATTAAGGAAAAGTCAGAGGCAAGTATTTTAGTCTGATTATTTTTATAAAATAATAAACTCAGCAGTAGATAAAAGCGTTAATCTATGAGTTCTGAAGAAAAATCTCTTTGCAAAGTGAGTTCTATGAATGTTGTTATCTACTTACTGTCCCTGAAAACAACAGCCTTGTGTTCACAATCCAGATGTTTCTTGATTTTATTCACAGGAGACAATTTAGTCTTGATATGATTTCCATTTGCAAATTCCACTCATTGTTAATTTTGTATCAATTAGAATAAAATACCTTCCTTTGACTTAAATCTACCTCATTGTAGGCTCTGTGCAAACTCCAAGGAAAAGTTAGTCATGTGCTTTCCAGAAGATCAAAGCTTAGGATAAAGACTGAGAGCATTTGATGTAAGAAGGGGGAGTGGTCATATAGGTCTTAGTCAAGACATGTGATAGTCACTGTAGGAGTTGCTGAAAAAAGAAGTCTGTGTCTTTCGTTAACCCATTTAAGCAGATCGTGTACCATCTAAAGGGGAAAATGTTCCTGGCTATTTTGTATTGCCTTCTGTGGAGATTCCAGATCTCTTCTGGCCACTTCCCTCGAGCCTGTGCCTCCTCGGAGAACTTGATGGCAAAAGAGTGCTGTCCTCCATGGACGGGTGATGGGAGTCCCTGCGGCCAGCTTTCAGGCAGAGGTTCCTGCCAAGACATCCTTCTGTCCAATGCACCGTCTGGACCTCAATTCCCCTTCAAAGGGGTGGATGATCGTGAGTCCTGGCCCTCTGTGTTTTATAATAGAACCTGTCAGTGCTCTGGCAACTTCATGGGATTCAACTGCGGCAACTGTAAGTTTGGATTTGGGGGCCCCAACTGCACGGAGAAACGACTCTTAATTAGAAGAAATATCTATGATTTGAGTGTGGCAGAAAAGAATAAGTTCTTTGCTTACCTAACTTTAGCGAAACATACTATCAGCCCAGTCTATGTCATCCCCACAGCCACATATGGTCAAATGAACAATGGGTCAACACCCATGTTTAATGATATCAACATCTATGACCTCTTTGTATGGATGCATTACTATGTGTCAAGAGACACCCTGCTTGGAGGTTCTGAAATCTGGAGGGATGTTGATTTTGCCCACGAAGCACCAGGTTTTCTGCCTTGGCACCGACTTTTCTTGCTACTGTGGGAACAAGAAATACAGGAGCTAACAGGGGATGAGAACTTCACCATTCCATACTGGGATTGGCGGGATGCAGAAAACTGTGACATTTGTACAGATGAGTACTTGGGAGGTCGCCACCCTGAAAACCCTAATCTACTCAGCCCAGCATCCTTCTTCTCCTCCTGGCAGGTAAGGTGCACTTCACATGCAGAGTCAGAGAGGAATGGTACCTCAGCAGCCACATCTTCATGCAGGTCTCTGTGAACACCTCTGCTGATGTCTCAGTGTAGAAAATGTGCCTAACTAAAAGATTCTTATGCTTCTTGACTTTTTATTTTTTTAGAACACTTCAAAATCACAATTAATGATTATTCATCTAATATCTAGTAGTTTAATTAGATTTCTAATCTGCTCTGAACAAAGAATGCTTGGTTCGCCACTGTATTGCTAGCACCTAGGATGGTATCTGGCATAAACAGTAGCTCAGAGTTATTTAGGAATGGATGAGTAACCAAATTATCTTAGTCCATGATTCTGAATAAAAAAATTTAATATTACCAATAAAACTAGTAGGATATACTACTTAAAAATAAAAATTCCTGGTCCTAACCTGAACCAATTAACTAGAATCTTCAAGGGAGAGTGCTGGCATAATTTACTAAGTATCAATGATGACCTTTATTACATGAATGCTTGACAAACACTATTGGATACAAAATCTTCAGTTTTAATTTAAAAAGAAACTAAAAGCTGTTGAGTATTTAGAATATGTGAATCTCTATTGAAAGTATTTATATACATTACCTGATTTAATATGAACCTATCCTCCTTTTAAAGCCATAAGATATACATAATTTGTTAAAATTGTATAACAGAACTGTTTGTAAATAGCAAAGATGGTATTTGTTCATGGGTACAATGGCTGTCTGACTAACCCCTTCATTTTCAGGGACAAGACTGACCTTTTGAAAGGATCCAGCTCTTCTAAGCTTTTTCATTAGGATGAAGAAGAAATTAGCCTTCTTCCTACTTTACAAATGTTAGAAATAAAGTTAAGAGATAGCTAGTTTGAGATTAGATTCTCATTTCTCCTATTGTTTTTCTTCACTCAGCATTAGAGGCAAAAGGTAAGAAAGAAATGTTAAAGTGTTTTTCTTTAAATAAACATAAGTGTGAGAGATTTTCTTTTACTTATCTTCTAAAATTTCCTATTACACCTATTCTGACTACCAATTCAAACACTATGAAAAGAACACTGCACAGGCTGCCCCACAATTGAGAATTTTGAAATACAAATTCACTTTATCCCTGATGCTCACACACTTCCAAAATGGAGCCCCTTAAAGTGCCATTGTAAAAGACAGCTGCTGGGCTGGAGAGATGGCTCAGAGGTTAAGAGCACTGGCTGTTCTTCCAGGGGTCCTGAGTTCAATTCCCAGCAACCACATGGTGGCTCACAACCATCTGTAATGAGATCAGGCGTACACGCAGGCAGAACATTGCATACATAATAAATAAATAAATGTTTAAAAAAAAAAAAAAGACAGCTGCTAATTCTTGGTGTCAATGATGCCAACTGTTTACTAAACTAATGAGTACTTTATATGGAGGGACGTAGCTGGAAAATTTGATTGCTGTACATTTTCAACTATTCTACCATAATCAATGAGCTTCAAACCCCTCATCTAGCTTTATACTCCTCTGGCTACTGCTTTAAATCATGTCAGTCTTTGATGTGGGAGTCTTAGATATACAATACTTTGATTTACTACATAGCCTCACTTGATGCAGAAAGGCTGAAGGATCATCTAAGTTATCAAAAGTTGTAATATACACACTGAGTTCAGTAAGGAGATATAAATTAATATTTAATTACAAGAAGAGTCTACTTCTAGATGATACCCAGATTTAATGTTTCTAATCATGTTTTGAGTATTGAATTCATCTTATGATTATGGGCAACTGTATAACTTTCTTAAAAACAAAACAAATAAAAATGTACAACCACATAGATTGATCTGGCTTAGTAAGTCATGAACTATAACTGCTACAATATTGTCTACAAACTTGTACTACAGTTATAGTTCTGTGGAGGAAAAGAGCTCTTTACATAGAATTAGAAAAGTGAAAGAATAAAATCACTGAAGAAAAAACAAGCAAAATTAAAAATAAAAAGAATTAGCAAAACAAAACAACAAAAAACTTAGCAAGCAAACAACATTTTTAAAAATGAAGTCTAATACATAAATAAATATTTGCTCTATCTCCCTAAGCTGTGCACTGTCCAGGGATAAACAGTTGCAGACATGACAGATAAACTAATTCATGTTGTCTGTTTTCATTTCATTCATACAATCTCTCTTGTTAATGTACTTCGAAAATGAGAGTTTTTTTCTCATTGCCCCTTCCCATTAGGAGAAGGAAGGGATAGAAGGCTTGTGGGAGGGATATGGTCAAAACACATTATTATATGCTTCGATGAAAATGTCTTTATGAATCCCCTGTTCAATGAATATGCACCAAAGAAAAAGAAATATCACTTCAAAAGAAAACTGAATAATGATTTAGAAGGGAAATCAAAGCAAATTAGGGTTGTTTGTGTCTGGAAAGATGGCTCAATTCCCAGCACCAGAATGGCAAGTTCCAACCATCTGTAACTCCGTTCCTAGGGCTCTGACATCCTTTTCTGGCTTCCCTAGGTACCTGGTCCATACATGATGCAAGACATACATGCATATAAGGCACCCATAGACATAAAATTTTAAATTAATAAATAAATGTTTATTTACATTGCTTTAATTCAATCACTGTCAGATTTACAGTCATCAAAGTTTTTGTCATTGCTCTGTTTTTGTTTGAACATCGGTGATCTAACTATTTGCTAGAAACACAGAATCAATTGGTCTATTGTACAGCTCCAGTGTGCATTTTTTGCTTATTTGGAGAAGAGGTCCTACCATATCCTTAGGCTGACCTGGAACTCAATCTACAGCCTAGTCGGCCCTCTAAAGCACAGTAATGCTCCTGCCTCAGCCTCCCAAGGGTGCTTGTACTTTTAAACCTCTTTATGTGGCTCTAATTTGCAGCCAGCACTATGATTCACAGATTTAATTAATATGGAGATTGTTTAGTTATCTCTTTACTTTCTTTTATGAAAACAGTTTCTGTAATGAACACACCATTAATTTGAATGCTTTTGTCTAAATTAAACATTCAAATTAAAAACTAGACTGTTTTGTGTTAGATGAGATCAAATAGCTTCCAAGTTAAAATGAGCTCATTAATACCTTCCAAATTAGCTAGGCTGATAGCCCATTTCATATGGGCTTCTACTCATTGCTTGATTTAAGATATCTTTTTACTTTACAAAAGGAGGTGTTAGAGATTTGATAGTATTTACCCATTCCAACCTGAGAGATCTTTTGTAGTATCTCGCAGAGTACCCACATTTTATAAATAATAGGCCCGAAACAGTAGGAGAATTTGGGTAAAAAAAAAAAAAAAGAAAGAAAAGAAAAGAAAGGAAAAAAAACACCCAAGGACAGAACCCAAGTGGCTATGTCTCCATTTCTATTAAAGTAAACCGTGTTGACTTATGTTTAAAGTGGATCTAATAACAAACTAATTGATGGATATATAATTTGAGAGGTGGTTATTTTTTCTTTCTGAAGTTCTCTTGCAGTTGACCAGGTTTGATCCTAATACCCATAGGATGGCTCACAACTATCTGTAACTCCATTCCCAACCCCAGGAGATCTGACATCTTCTTCTGACCTCTATGGACACCAGACACACACACACCACAGACATGCATTAGGAAAAACATCCATATACATAAAAAGTAAAACTATTAAATTCCCATGCACCCAAACTGAGAAAGACAGACACTTCTATTTATTTCAGATAGAATTGATTTCCTTCCCTTTGTTACACACTTTCTGCAGATTTATCTTACATCTTCTCTAATATTTCAGAACATGTGAATGTTTTTTCAAGCCTATCTCTGTCTACCACTGTCAGATTCTCCAAAGTAGAAACTATTTATAAATATATTTCTAACCATATATAGGGACCATGATATACAGACAGAATTTCCTTCATAAATACATGATGAATTAAAGAAAAATGAAAATCAGAGAGAAATTTAATTCTTATTCTAGATGGATTTCTGAGATCTCAGCTCATATTTTACAATTTTGAATTCTCAGTGTGAAAGACATAAAATGCCAACAGACAGCACTTGCTTAACATCTAAGATAAGACATTTTGTACAGTGTTTGTTGGTTTACCTGATTGTGAGTATGTGTGTGTGTGTGTGTGTGTGTGTGTGTGTGTGTGTGTGTGTGTGGGTGGGTGTATGTAAATGTGTACATAAAAATATATGGTATAGCTCATAATACATCTAAACATTATTTGAGATGAAAAAATTACCTCACAAGCTTTCTTTGACAGGAGATAATACACAAAGTCAAATAATTAAGGTTAATTTTCTTAGAAATAAGGTTTAATGTGCAATCAGTCTTTTCCTAGCTTGTTATTTATTCATTTGTATGATTATTCTCAAAAAAATCTTCAAATAGAAGCATATCTGTCTCCATTAAAATAGTAAGTTTTAGAAAAAGGAAGGTACTCAATGACATTTACGTACAAAATTCCTGTGCTCAACACCATTAGATATAATGTTATGCAAACAAGAGAAGCAAACCTAAGAAGAAAAGGTGTATCAAAGAGAGGTGTCCCGATGGATCATAATGGAGAGGAAAAGAGCTCCTGATGATAGATGTGAGTGAACTGCAGCCAGGGAATCCACTCAGCAGGTGGAAAGCATATCACATGGAAGCCACAGGAGGAAGAAAAATAAAGTCACATTTCAGCAGAAAGTCATGGGTTTAGGTAACCATGACAACAGCTCCGTGCAATAGCAGCTTCTCTTTTTTTCTTTATGAAAGATTTTGTGGAATGTCATATGGTTTAGTGTTTTCCTTTCTTTCTTTCTTTCTTTTTTTTTTTCAGGAAAAACTCAAATACCATAATAAAATCTTTGCTGCCGAAGGCTTTTAAGAGCAGGTAGTTTATTGCTACTTCCTACAATTTAATAGAACACTATCATGTTTCATCTTCCATACATGCTAGGCAAGTACCCTAGGACTGAACAGCATGCCAGCCATAATTATTGGATCCTTTACACAGGTGCCAGAGAGTACTGCATCATGCCCTTTAAATATGCTGGACTACCTGATCCTGAATAAAGAGTCATTACATTCTCCATTTAAAGATGAAAAGCCTTGACAAAGAGTCTGGGTGACCTGTCTGAGGCTATGGGCTTACTAGAATCAATATTAGACCCTATATTTCTGAGCACAATCTCCATGACAGGTAACCACAATGCTAACAAATTCTCCATCCTTGTCCTTGCTTGTGAATCAAACATAAACAATTTGGAGTTAAGTTTTTTACATTATTTCTGTAACCATGGTATCTTTCCTCTGAATTACTAATGCCTTCATCACCCAACCTCTTAGTCACATAGCAGTTGGCATTCAGCAAAAATAGTTCCATCCAACCTCTCTAATTTAACTGAGTCTGCTGTAGGAGTCTTTTCTGCAAAAAGACCTTTTGGAAATATCCTGAGGATTATTAGTCAAAGAGGAATGAAATGACTTCCTCTGTGTCCCTGACGTGGTGTCTAGTCAATTGACATTGTAAAGACTTCCAAACTGCTACGTCCAGAGCAGAAGTTGAACTAGTTTTATGAAACCATTCAGGAGTCATTAATATGAAAAAAATAAATGAAGTAGATAAATCTTTAGAATCAGCAATGCTGAATTTATAAATTTTCAAATATCTTCATGTGTAGAGAAATGGTTATTTTAAGGACACATATAGCTTAAAGATAATTTTATGCAATATTTAGCACATTTAACATTATCCCTGCCTTTGTCAAAGAGTTTCAACATTCTGGATTTTGAATTTTTGGATTGGGATTCTCAAGCTGCATAAGCGAAGAGGCAGTGTGGCCTCAGCAGCAGGATGACATAGGATGAAAGCATGTGGGGAACACTAGCCAGGTTAAAGACAGGTTTTGGAGGGTTGAATTGAAAATAATGTTTGACAGAGTCAACGTGAAAGAAAATGGAGGGAAACATACAAAAGGGAATCCATTGCTTCCTGGCTTTAACAGCAGGCTGGTTGGTGTGAAAGTACAGAGAAAGGAATGGGTTTTTTAAATGTAAATAATATATTTGCAATATATGAAAACAATGTTTGAATTTTAAGTATGAATATATTTAGAATATGAGAATTTTCATTAATGTACTTGATGGGTAAAGCCATCAAACTCACCTATACATATGGCCAAAGAATATAAATAGAAATATAGAATGTATAGAGCTGAGTTCTACATTAAGCACAGGTTTATGACTATATTGGTTAGTTTTTGTTAACATTACACAGACTATGACATACCTGAGAAGAGGGCTCTCAGTTAAGTACGTGCTTTCCAACAGATTAGCATGTTGGTTTCCTAACAGAGAACTTTTTTGATTCCTGATTGATGTGGAAAGAGCCAAGTCACTCTTGGTAGTCCCATCTTTGGATGAGTAGCCCTGGGCTGTAGAAAAAGGATAATTGAGCAAGTCAAAGGAAGCAAGCCAGTAAGCACCATTCCTTCATTGTCTCTGCTACATTTCCCGCCTCCAGATTTCTATTATGGCCTTTCCCTATGATAGACTTTATCTTGTGATTCAAATAAACCCTTTCTGTCTAAGTTGGCTTTAGTTATTTTGTATCACAGCAACAAGATGCAAACCAGGACAATGAGCCACACACAGTGCTCAGAAATGGACCTACATTTTGAAGATTAATTAACTTGTAATTTTTACCTTGAAATTCTGAATAATTTTTGCTATGAATTTGTGTTTCACAGTGAAGCCATAAAGACATGAAGTATACTATAGGAGCTCACTGTGATTTTACTCTTGTGGTATCCTATTTTCTCTAGGGAAATATCTTTACCTTTATGGGATGTTGGATGTCATTCCCTACCCTGTAGCACCAGCCCCATCTAGTCCACAGTCTTTGGGGGCTCCTGGCTGGAACATCAAGAGCCACCTATCATTGTCATTCTGGTTGAGGAGAATTTGGGAAGAATGAAGCCCCTGAACATTTCGTTACAAGTTGGAACAGATGTGTTTCGGGGCTGACAGAATGATAACTAAATGGGCAGAAGATTAATTATCACAGGCTAATTCTTACCAAAATTACTCCACGAACTCAAAGTGTGTCCTTCAAATTCATGTGCTGAAGCCATGCAACTAACTGCGTTTACAGATAGGACTTTCAAGGAGGTAATTGAAGTTAAATGAAGGAAGAACCAAGACCACAATTTTAGGCATTTATCTTTATTGTAGCTGGCATTTACTAGCCTAATTTGTGTCCAGAAAGTTCCCAACTATATCTTGAACTATCGACAGTTGTAATTCATAAAATGGAGTCTTATTTCTTTTTTGTGACTTTGGGTGGCTTGTCAGCACTGAATCTGCCTCCCTGAAGTATTCCAAAGAAACCCTCCAGTCCAGTCTTCCTTTCTTCCCTCTAAGTACAATAATTAACCTTTCTTAATAATTTGTTTAATTTTATTTTATGTGCATTGGTGTGAAGGTGTCAGATGCCCTGGAACTGGAGTTACAGACAACTGTGAGCTGCCATGTGGGTGCTGGGAATCGAACCTGGCTCCTCTGGAAGAGCAAACAGTGCTCTTAACCACTGAGCTATCTTTCCAGCCCACAATAATTAATCTTATAAGGGTCCCCCTGCTCAAATAAACAAGTTTCATCTCACAGTGTTGCATCTTGATTGCCACAATCATATGCAAATTAGGTGACGAACTGGAACTTTGTTGTTCATTTTAACATAGACATGCTTTAAAATCATTGGCTGCTGAACTCCTGTTCATGAGTTACAAATGCATAGAGAGGGAAAGGGGCAATGGCTCAGTGAGTAAAAAATTTGCAATGCAAGCATCAGAACTGGAGTTCAGATAACCAGCACCCTCTTAAATCCTGAGTGGGAGTAGTGGCTTCCTGCTAGTATTGATTGCTTGCAAAATGGAAATGTGAAATTGCCAGAGAAATCTTCCCAGCCAAACTAGCTAGATGAATGAGTGCTATTCCAGGGAGAGAGCACATTTTAATGTATGCCACAGTGAATAACTGAGGAAGACACTCAACATCAACCTGTGGCTTCCACAGGCATACACAAACATGTATATGTGCTATATGTGCATGTGCACACACACACACACACACACACACACACACACACACGCACACGCGCACGCGCGCGCACACACACACACACACACATACATACACGTACCAACACACATGCAAGCACACACTTGTGCACATGCCACATATGTATATGCACACACAACTATAAGTGAATGAACAAATAACCGCTCAATGTCCAGTAAAGATGGAGCTGAAAAGCTTGGTTTGTGATGGAAGCACTGTCTTTTTATCTTCAAACTGTTACTTATCTTCTCTATCCTCAGTTTACTTGTTAATATGGTAAGTATTACCATGTGACCTAAATGAAATAGTTCATGCTTCATGGCTCCTTAAAACCTTTCCTATAAAAATGTGAAGAATTATGATTCTTTTAAAAATAATTGTCTGCCAGAGAGTAACATAGGAATTAAGAAAACTGCTGTGCTTTGAAAGTTCCCTATGAGCAAGACTATGTTATATATCAAGCCAGACATTAAAAATGGATGTTATGACAAAAACAAAAAGTGTGAAGTGGAATGATTAGTAGTATTTGCTCTTACTGGCTATTTTTAGTAAATGTTTCTGTTGGGTGTTTACTATTTCTCATGTGATAGGATTTTGACTTCACATGGATCAGTAACTACCTTTCCTGTCATAACCCGAGACTTATATGATTAACTTATAGTAGAGGTTTCACAAATCAATTGTATCTCAACTATTTACATAAAGTACTCATTTTGATCACAATTTAGTGTGTGAGACTTAGGAAACCAAAGTCATCATGGTACATGCTAGATGTGGTACTACTAGATGTAGGACTCTAACTCCGCCATGGGTTTGACATTCCATCATTTGTCCTACAAACTCCACTGCATTCTTTGACATTTTCATCTACTTGTTAGGGCGCTGCATGAAGGTAGTTATGAGTAATTTCAACATTCCTTCCTTCTCCACTTGCCTCATTTAACACCAAGTGTTTTCGTAGATCATCTGTAGCCAATCAGAGGAGTATAATGGCCGTCAGGCTTTATGTGACGGGACACCTGAGGGACCACTGATACGCAATCCTGGAAACCATGACAAAGCCAAAACCCCGAGGCTCCCAACTTCAGCAGATGTGGAATTTTGTCTGAGTTTGATCCAGTATGAAACTGACTCCATGGATAGAACTGCCAATTTCAGCTTTAGAAACACAGTGGAAGGTAATATCCTTGTTTTCACTAATTATGATTTTTTTCTCCTTGTTTACTGTCTATTCTCAGAGATTTTGGACTCATGTATATTTAGAAATTATGATTTTGTTAGTTGCATAATACTATGCTTTGCATATACTCATACTTACAGTAAACCTAGGCAGCTTAGAACATCATACCTAATATGCCAGCAGTTAAGTGATACAAAAGCAAGTTGTGTATTCTACCCACCATGGGAAAAAGTGGGAACAATAGGCAATTTTCCACAAAAGAAATAGCTTTTATCTCAAGTTAATAAAAGAGATAGATTCTCTGAAGCAAAAAGTGAGTTAACATGACCCAAGAACATTGAATCAGGTTCTTCTAATACTATTTTCTAACAGGGTAAGAGTTCTATGAAGCTTTACAGTAATAGAACAAAGAAAATAGTGGGGAAACATCAGGTAGGCGACTTACAGAAGAACAGAGTTATTAAAGCTGTAGACACCAGATGTTATCTGACCCTATTCTTAGACTTTTCATTGTTCAAAAGTGGGAGTCTATATATTACAAACTATTTACCCAATGACCACAAAGACATTAGATTCCACACAAGGAAAGCATTAAATGACTATTAGTGGGCTAAAGACTGCCCAAGGTAGTTAGGTTCTGAACTTGCAACATTCCAACCTGTTCTGTCAACCAGACTTTGTAGTCCCATGGTCTTTTCAGGAATTCTCATTCACAGAGCCAATAGTGAATCGAATGAAGGTGTTTCAACAAAGGTATGCTAGTACAAAATAAAATCATTTCATGACTGAAGCTGTTTGTACTGTGGAATTAGAGATACAGAACTATGGAAAGACAGTGTTTTCTCGTGATCTAAATGGGCTTCTTTCTCTTTAATTTAAAATACCTAGACACAGGCTGGAGAGATGGCTCAGAGGTTAAGAGCACTGCTTGCTCTTCCAAAGATTCTGAGTTCAATTCCCAGCAACCACATGGTGGCTCACAACCATCTGTAATGAGATCTGGTGCTCTCTTCTGGCCTGCAGAGATACGTGCAGACAGAACACTGTATACATAATAAATAAATAAATCTATTAAAAAAATTTAAAGACATATTTATGGGGCTGGAGAGATGGCTCAGAGGTTAAGAGCACTGACTGCTCTTCCAGAGGTCCTGAGTTCAATTCCCAGCACCCACATGGCTCACAACCATCTGTAATGAGATCTGGTGCCCTCTTCTGTGTACATAATAAATAAATAAATCTTAAAAAATAAATAAATAAAATACCTAGACACTAGGTTATTTGAGGCCATTTTGTTTTGTTAACTGTAATAGAGACACAATTCATGTCAATTCAAGCCTGTCTCCTTATATCCCAACATCTGCACTTCACCAGAGGTGGTTTCTCACATCCTTGTCTACTCTCTGATTCAGCATATCTGTCCATCTGCTCACATCTTCCTTTCAATACCAGTTCATTATCGTGTGATCAGAACAGACGCTTTCATATGTGCATCACACTTCAGCTAGCACTGAAGAGACAAACCTATCAATAAACAGAGTTAAAGGGGCAACCAAAATTAAAGAACTCAAGTCACAGATTCCACACATGAGCAAGCAGGGCTAACCTCCAACAAAGATCATAGAAATTACCACCAGCTACCTCCTTCCAAAAGTCCTTTGCAATCTACCATGTAGACAACCTTGACCTCCTCCATAGAGAGAATCTTATTAACCTTTCCCCTTGTCTTTAGTGTGTTGCATTCACCCTAACTTCTTTTGTTCTACTTTATGGAGAGAGTTTACTGTCTCTTTTGAAAGGTCAGCAAAATAGCAAGACTGATGATAACAAGAAAATAAAGGACCTGCTGGCAGTGCAGATCTTTATTTGGAGAAAATCTACAGAGGAGGTTCTCTTCCAAATCAAAACCCACAGTCCAGTAGCAAGTTGTAATATTTATAGCACAGAAGAGAAGAATGAGGTTAAAATGTTTACTTTTTGGCCCAAAGTTTGACATTTCTAGGAATAACCACTGAGTAGTCAGTGAAAGAACGTTAAGCGATTGATAAACTTCCTGCATGGTCATTCCCTGGGTAGGGCAGGCAAGAAATGAGAGAATCAACTTACTTCAGCTATGTATCTTGGAAAATTGTCACAGTTCAACCAGGAACAATGCAGCCCTATCTACCATTTCCCCTTTTCTTCTTTCATTCCAAGCCATAATCCTAAAACCTTATACCCATAAGTAATGTAGGAAAGAAAAGCCACATCTTAAAGATAAACTTTGGTGACTGCTGTTAAGATAAAAGTTGTTTAATGTTTATTCTCTTACAGCAGTAAAATGATGCTCCAAAAAACGGTTATTGCTGTGTGCACAGCATCTTGCCAGCCACTCTGTATAATGTTGTTTATAAGACATTTTATAAATATTTTCTGTGGATTACATCATTATGCTCAGTTAAAAGAGGGATGACAGGTTCAGCAAAATAAAATGATAAGGCTATCCGTGGCCACCGAGTGAGTGGCAGCCCCAAACCTGCACTTAATTTGTTAAAGGACAATGTTCAGAATGCAAACACATTGCATTCTGATGACCCATATGGTTTATGAGTTCCCTGAGGGTGGACAATATTGTGGTACATACAATATCAGTAGAGACAGTAGTTTAGAGAGATCCTCTGGAGGGTTCCAGGTTCTTGAATCTATAAACAGGAAAGGGAGAGAGAAGCACAGTTGTTTTTAGAAGAGAAAGATTTCTTCTATCAGAAATGGTCCCAAGTAGAGCAAAGTCTTGGAAGCTCAACAGCAATGCTAGACAATGAAGGACAATTCATGGGTTTTCTGGCCTACTTGTAGAGCATTGGCTTTTTTGCAACAATGCTTTATTGGTTACATGTTGGCCTTGGGTGACCAGTCTTGCTCTTGGCCAACAGCCTTTTTTCCCTTCCTAATTTGCAACCTTTGGAAAAGGACTTACAGACCTCACTGTCTGCTCTAATCCTTTGTTTTGGAAAAGAAAATGGAAATATAAGCAGTCATAAAGAAAAGCAAAATCATGACATTTACAGAAAAAAAATGGATGAAATTAGAAATCATTAACTAAAATAAGTTAGACTCACCAAGACAACAATATCATTTTTCCTCATACACAGAGCATAAATTTAAAATCATGTATTTGTATATATTTACAGATGTGTATATTTATAATTGTAGATGTGCATGTGTAGGTCATGAAGCTGGAAACAGGATCATGATGGAAAAGAAGAGTTATTAAGGTGTGATGATATTTTATTTGTGCTGAAATGTGATATTTTATCTGTATGTTAATAAATACAGTTTGCCTGGAGATCAGAGGTCATAGCGAGCCAGGAATAGCAGTCAGGCGGTGGTAGCACATGCCCTTAATCCAATCACATGGCAGGCAAAGTCTCTTCATGGTCAAAGACACAGCCAAACATGGTGACACAAGCCTTTAATTCCAGAACCAAACATAGAGACCTGGAGGTCTGTATAGACAGGCAGTGACAAAAAAGTCATGTGGCTGGGTTTAGAGCCAATGAGAAGGCAGAACAGGAAGGCAATAAAAACACAGGTTAGATGGGAAGAGGCTCTCTCTTTGTGGAAGCTACTGCTGGTGGTAAGCTAAAGCTAATTGTGGCTAATGCTCTGATCTCTTTGACTATTACCTCTGTATTTGGCTCTATGTTTCCTATTTAATAAGACTGTTTAAAAATTTGTCTGCACAAGCAATACAGCAAATACTGGGTTGACTAGAGGAAACAAAGGAAGCAGCTATAAGAGTGCAGTGAAGGCACAGAAGGAGACCAAAGCATTATGATACATATATAGAGAGTCCATAATGAAAACATTACTTTGTATGCTCACTTAAAACTTTTGATTAAAAAAATGGACAGTATCAATTTAGTTTTTTAATTTAGGAAGACAACTCCTGGTGCCATGACACCTCAGAGCTGTGGGCAGAAATGAAGGTACACAGTTTGGTACTTACTGTCTGAGGGGACTGCATGTTTCCCTGGACTGCCGGGATTAACAAAAGGTCTCCAAATGCTAATATTAGTAACATTGCAAAACAGACTGTGTCCTTGATGAAACTTGAGTACTTCGTGTTTTTTTTTATTTTTATTTTATTTTTGGTTTTTCATTTGTTTTGTTTTTTTTTGACAAAAATTTTCAACCATCAGTACTATTTTTAATTTAATTATATTAATTATTTATTGGATATAGTGTTGGCACAGAAATGGAGCAAAGGCATTTCATTTCTTTACAGCCTGAAGTGAAAGAAAAGTGATGGAGGTTGGGTCAGGTATCATAGATATACACAGAGAATAAGTGACTGTGAGATTGTCCAGCCCTATTGGTACATCTACAATGCAGCCCTACACAGATGCAAGGAATATCATTAGAGAGACAGAACATAATAGCTAGTAGAGCAGAACACCTGCTGCTAGATGGTGTCTTCTAGACATGGCAGGGATGTTGTACCTGAGGTATTTCAACAATATGTTGACCTAAAAATACATTGTTGTCTGATCCTAAGTGGTCATCCCTAAAAACATGTATATTCGAGAAACACTAATTGGACTCAGGAGATTGTGTGTGTGTGTGTGTGTGTGTGTGTGTGTGTGTGTGTGTGTGTGTATGTAGAAATAATTATAGAAGAGGTCATTTATTCAAGAGTAAAGTGGAGGGGTAGGAGAGTTGGGAGAGAATGGTGGAAATTTTGTAAATACAGTACTCATGTATGAAATTTTCAAAATTTTAAAATTTAAATTAGAAATATTTCTTATTAATTACCTTACTGGTGAGATGTAACTCAGAGTTCTTAGGATTTCAAGTGATAAACAGAAGCAGCAAAGAGGTGGCTCTAGAGGGTAATCTACTTCCTGATCTCAAACCCAGGGCTACCAAGCTCCTGTGCTATTTCCTTAGTTAATGAAATTAGATTCCAGCCACTCAGACTGGGGTTGTTTAGTTCACTGCCTGATCTGAGCTTCCTGC